AGCCATCACTATGGTCCTCTCTCGGTTGTCACAGATTCACAAACCCAACTCTATTAAATTTAGTTTTGGTCTTTTTTTGTGGTTTGAATGAACGGTCACTTGTTGACTTGGTGTCTTTTTATCTTTTTTTGTTCTCAGGCCTTTGTGGGATGGTGGCCCACATGATGTTTACTACCATATTCCAGCTGGCTGTTGCCACCGGGCCAGAAGATTGGAGACCCAAAACATGGGACTACAGCTGGTCTTATTTGTAAGCAACGTTAACCTTCATCTCTGGCTGTTTTGACATTTTTACTCACTAGATCAAATAATCACGGCACAAATTAAGGCTCACTACCTTCCATTTTCTAAATAATCTTTTGCCTCTCGGGCTTGAGACTCATCCACAGCCACCGTATTGTATGCAGGCGCTCAATCAGTCAGCTAGGCAGCAGTATTGTGGGTTTAACTGACTTCCAAAAATTCCATGATGAACCGGACATTGGTAGACAGCGGTTCTACTGTCCACAGCCAAACTCTAGCAGACTCTTTCTGAGGTTGTAACAGTAGTTTATGTTTCCAGGAGTCACACTTCTGAGGTGAGGCATGCTTTCCCATTCACATTTCTGCACAGGTACAGCACCTCGATTCTTCTTTTTATAGCCATTCTATTGTAGTTTTGCTCCTGTGTTTGAAAAAAGAAACTGTTGTATGGTGCAGTTTGGGCCAAGATTTTTACCTGTCAAAACAAGCTTAAATCATAACCCCTGCACCACTGTGCTTACAGATATGGAGTGTTTGTTTTTCTCTAAATGTGGCGCTGTGCATTATGGTCAACTACAGGACATTGTTCCAGAAGTCTTGTGGTTGGTTCAGATTGAACTCTGCAATCCTAAGCCATGCTGCCATGTTCTTTTTAGAGAGAACATGCTTTGTGCTGGCAACCTTTGCACACACAATTTTGCTGTCATGAACTTTAAGCGAGTTTTAGCTCTGTGGATTTTTGCACTTTTCTGAGCATTGCACAGTCTGACCATGGGATGAATTTGCTGGGACGCCCATACCTGGTTGTGGCATTACTTATGTATTTCACATGAATGGAAAAACTTCCAAAACATCACACTTTTTGATAATTTTAATTGGTACATTTGATTAGCAGCACCTGGAAACAGTGAGGGTGGACTTACAGTACAGTCAGATTGTTCAACTGGCTTTCACTAACTGCACCAAAACTACGCGATTATGTGCAGAAGAGATGGTACTCACTGAACAACGAAGATGAAGGGTGCCAGGCACATTTAAAGAGAAGGATTTGGCATGTCTGTTGCTACACTGTGCAGTGTTGCATACCTGCCCAAAAATCTGGGAGTTTTAGTTTTGCCATTTGTGTTTTTATGTTTGTTGACAGATGGGTTGATATTATGACTGCAGTGTATGGATGCATGCATTCCAGTTATTCACAATAAAGGCTCAGTCAATGCTTTGCTGGTGAGTTCACAGGCCCAATCACTAATTTTGGGTCATACTAAAAACAGCTAAAGATTATAATCAGTGTTAGAGTCAGAAGAAGAGGATTATCAAGGGTACGTTCATTAGCTGAGGACTTGTTACTGAAAAGTCGTCAATGCAAAGGTCTGTCTCTCGGCTGTCAAGGTAGCTGACATGATTGGTTATATCCGTAGGACTGGATACAGTTACAACTACTGAGTTGGAAGACGACAGAAGCCCTGGGAATGGGATTACATTTTACCAGTTCTTGATTGTAAACTAAAATAGCACACAGCACAAACCACACTGCTGGTACGTCTGTGTAGAGCCATCTTACAGATGCAGCTCAGCAGTAGGCTAACCCTCTTTTTAACCCTCTCCACAGATTAGCATGGGGCTCTTTCGGCACCTGCATGGGGTCTGCAGTGACGGCACTGAACCGCTACACAAAGACGATCATCGAGTTTAAATACAAACGGCGGAACATCGAGAAGAGCCTGATGATAAAGCAGAACATGATGGAGATGAACGTCCCCGAGCAGATGTGGGACATGTACCTGACTACTGTGCCGGTTGATGCCGAGGCACCTCTAGAACTGCCGGTCAACGGCCACAAGCCGTCCACAGGAACAGCGTACGAGGTCGAAATGGACAATGTACCAGAACCACAAGGAGAGGCGTACTGTTAAAGATGGAAACGTTTCTGGGGTTGATTTCCTGGACCTACACTGACTCTTGTTCTTGGATTTAAATATTTACTTCAGGACTTTTTTTTTGTATATTTTGTTCCTCTCCACACATCAGATGTGTCTGGTTCTTAAAAAAAGATAATGTGAGAAGCGGGGAAGGGAAAAGGGCTACATTTCACGCTAAACTGGATGTAAATGCTCCTTCTGTACCATCAGGGACGTATCGCCAAATCATCGCAGGTCTACCTGCACAGACCAGACTCTGTTTGAAGTGTCCAGTAAGATCTGATGTTGGACAGTCGGTCAGCTATAAAAGATTTAAAAAAAGACAACAAATTAATGTCAAATAGCAAACTGGGACACAAATGTCTGCCAAGACATACAAAACAACCACCGAACCTGTGAAACAACCACTCCAACAATGAAAAAACCCAAGACCGCTGCAAAGTTTGTAGATATTCTCCACGACTGACTGTTCAGGATTTTCTTTTTTTTTTAAAGAACATCTCTCGATAAGATTTTACATCAGGAATTTGCCTTTTCTGTCAACTCCCCTGAAACAGCTGCTGTCTTTACACTCTGGTATGAGTGAGACATGCTGTATCTCAAACGCTGACAGCAT